GTGAGAGAATTCACCAGAGCCAGAGTGGGGAGCAGAACTGGCAGACTGACAAAGTACGTTGCTGAGGGGAGCAGTGGGCGTGGCAGGAGAGGTCTGCATGCCATGTGGGACCCTCGCCAGTGGCCGGGGATCGAACAGGCGCTGCACAGGCTGAGGACAGCTTTGCAGCCCAGTGCTCAACTGCTGTGCCACTGGGGAGGCCCTAATATATAGTTATTTTTTCAAAAATCCACTTTTTGATTTTCTATTCATGGACCTCCCAAATACAATTATTTATTTGCACTTGTTATGTTTAGTGAGAGTATCTATACACATATATGCATGTGCACACATATATATTAATTAACTATATACCTGAAGATCAACTAATTATACACACATATGTGTGTATATATATATATATATATATATATATATATACACACACACACACACAGTTGCCCCTATATAAACATCTAATGTGTATTGTGTTCATTTTATGGTGTGAGATTTAATAGAAAATGTAGTGGGTTCATTTTTGCATTTTTCATGTTCTTGTTCAACTTACCTATGGTGAGCATATACTGATTTTTAGGAGAGACTTTAAAAAATGCATATCCAAATGACAGAAATTAAAAATGTTCATTTAGCAAGTAGAGTAATATATACACAGAATTGTTCTGAAGTGGTTTATATGATCACTCACTTTTATGGCACTGTAATTATCTGAAAGACAACTATGGTTTTTTAGGTCATGAAGTGGTGAGCTGCTTCTCATTTACAAATAAACAGTTAATGGGGTCTCCCCTGTGGCACAGCAGTGGAGCGTTGGGTTGCGAAGCTGCCCACAGCCTCTGCAGCACTGTTTCGATCCCCGGCTGCTCCCCGGCCACCAGAGGAGGGTCCCACATGGCGCGCAGACCTCTCCTGCCGCCCGCTGCTCCCCTCTGCAGTGTACTTCGGTCCTTCTGCCTGCTCTGCTCCCGGCTCTGGCTCTGGTGAATTCTCTCACCCTCCCGCGCTTCTGACTGTACCCAGTGCTTGTATAAATAAATAAATAAATCTTAAAAAAAAAAAAAAGAAAGAAAATAGCAACGTGTGCAAGGTTTTCTTATAAAACAACAACAACAACAAAAACAAATAAACGGTTAATGATACCCTGTCAGCTAAGTCCTCCCAAAGTAGATTCAGCTCATAATGGGCCATTGTAAAGACAGCAAAATTGACTTGTTTTCAAAAATTGTAACAATTATTTTTAAGTATTTTGTCAAAAAGCATTTTTCATTAGTCATAAGGGTCTTTTATTTTATTTATTTATTTATTTATTTATTTATTTATTTATGATTTATTTATACATACAAGCACTGGGTACAGTCAGAAGCACGGGAGGGTGAGAGAATTCACCAGAGCCAGAGCGGGGAGCAGAGCAGGCAGAAGGACCGAGGTACACTGCTGGGGGGAGCAGCGGGCGGCAGGGGAGGTCTGAGCGCCATGTGGGACCCTCCTCTGGTGACCGGGGAGCAGCCGGGGATCGAACCGGCGCTGCAGAGGCTGCGGGCAGCCTCGAAACCCAGCGCTCAACCGCTGTGCCACCGGGGAGGCCCCATAAGGGCCTTTTAGATGTCATAATTATTGATGAACAGAAGAGAGGATATCCCAAGAGATCAGCACCCATGGCACACAACTCACAGTGCTTCTTACACTCATTGCAGATGAGTTCTCAGTATATCATTATATGCCTGTGTGTCACTGACAAATCAAACCCAAGTAATGAAAACATAGATGTAGTAAAAAGTACTGTTTTTATTTTTCAGTATGCTTCTTTAAAAAAAAGGTACACTTAATTAGTAGTACATTAATGAACTTAAAGAACGAAGTGACAAGTTTTTGTCACAGATATTAATTTACATTTTACAAACATCCACCAAAACAATTAAAAACAACATAAATATATTACATTTCATATTTCTGGTATTTTCATTTCATTTTAATAAGTATAAAATATATAACATATATAATGTTTTATTTTTCTTCAAAAGCAACTTCAAATGTGCAAATAAGTAAATTATGTTTTTAAAGTATTAAGGAATAAGACTAAATCATAAACAGAAATTTTAGAGGTATGAATAAAGCAATTCCTTAAGGAGAGTTCATGAGTACAGCAATATTAAAGTGTAGCAAAATGTTATTAATACTGGAACATCTACACTTACCTTAAAAAGTTAAGCACAAGATTGTTCTTGTGCTTTTAAAGCTTCTTCTCACTGCTGATTCCTAGCAGTAATTTTAAATAATTGTTAGGATTATTACTTCCCCATGATAATAAATCAAGCATCTTTCAAATTAAGCATTCAATGTAGATGATGTTTATGAACAAGTTTTGTTGTAAATGAGGGAAATGTTTATCTATAATCAAATGCACCCAAAGGAAAATTCCTCTGCTTACGTTGTTAATGCAGGTTTGACATTTATTTTATTTTAAAATAATAACTTTTCTTCCTGTTAAATGACAGTTTTCGAACAAAGACTTTAAAACTTTAAGTTAGTACATGCCTGAAAAATGGACTACAAATGAATAGCTGATTATTCTCCCTTAAAAATAGTGTTGGATGGTAAATGTTGGGGTATATATTATACTTACATTATCTAAATATGTAATTCTTCTTGCAATATAACAAATTAAAAATACCCCACTTTAATATACTTCAGCTTAAATAACTGTTATTTTTATCAGGCAAAATACATTATTATAGTAATTAGCAATATTTCAAATGACATTTGAACTTCTTTTCTGACCTAAGTACCTATAATATAACATTCCCTTTGAACTTTCACTATGTACACTCTAATGTATACATACATATACCAAGGCACTGGAGAGGTTAACACATAATTAAGCATTTTATTGTTAAAATGTTCTCTAGTACAAACTAGGATTTCATTATAAATCTCATGCATCTAAACCTAAATTACATGAGAAATAGAGATTCATCTGAGTACTTTTGTTCATTTCTAAACTTTCTCATTCAAATAGTCCAAATTATAGCAAATAATAGAGGCTTATCATTATACTGTAAAATAATATGTAAATACAATTTTCTAAATGGAGAAAATCAGAATAATATTTTTCTAATATGTGACTGCTGCACTAATCATATTAATTAGGCCTTTTCATCAATAGTATCAAAAATAATAATTGTGTCATAAATTTTAATTCAAGGTAAAAGTTATAATGTAAATTTAAAATATACTAAGTATATGTATTTGAAATATAGTCCTCTAATATAATTTGTGGTAAGCATTTTGTTATATATATACATATAAGTATATATGTGTGTATGTGTTGTAAAAGGAGATATATACCCATATTTTTTCTTTCATCAAACACATGAGCACAGGCTTGAAGATTGTTATAACAAAAATATTTAATTAAATTGACTTTCTGTATTTTTAAAATGAACCTTTAAACAAAATTTTAATGATCATTTCATTATAAACGATTATATTGCACTTATATAAAGTGTTAAAACTCTTTGTTTTTGATTAATTAATCCATTTCATATTGTCTGTAGACCAGACTCTCACACTATGGACATATAAATGTGGGGTACATTTAACTAGAGATCTAACTCTAAGTAGAAGCAGAGTTTCTGTAATGAACTGGTAACTAATGTTTAAAATCCCAGGATATGGGCCTCTCCTGGTGGCAGAGCGGTTGAGCGCTGGGCTGTGGAGCTGCCCGCAGCCTCTGCAACGCCAATTCGTTCCCCGGCCACCGGCGAAGGTCCCACATGGTGCGAAGACCTCTCCTGCCTCCCACTGCTCCCCTTGGCAGTGGATTTTGTCAGTCTGCCTGTTCTGTTCCCCAATCTGGCTCTAGTGGGTTCTCTCACCCTCCGGCGCTTCTGACTGTGCCCAGTGCTTGTATAAATAAATAAATAAATCTTTAAAAAAAAAAAATCCCAGGATAGTTGCTTCCCTCTACTCTTTCTACGAAAGTTCACAAGTGACATGTTGGCCAGCTTTTGTTGGGTTTCTAATTTTAGAACGACTGTTGTGTTGTTGTTGTTGTTTTTTTTAATCAATATATAGTAAGCAAGAATTTAAGTGTTACCTTAAATGTAGACATATATTCAGTTTTGTGGCAAAAAATATTAAAACTGTATACTGTTCAATTTGCCAAGAATAAGGTATTCTAAATTGAATTTATAACTTGCTCAGAACAATTTTGAACCATCATTTTTTTCTTTTTAATTTAATGTGTTTAAGAATTAATCAGATGCCACGTGGATATTTATATAATTTATAATGATTCTAGCAATAGTTTGACATCATTTAAAAAAAGTAATTGTCAATTGTCTCTTCTCCATATAATTTAATTTACTTATCTATTGTCTATTTTTTCTTATTTTTTAAAAAAGAAATCAAACCTTCTGATTATATATTTGGTCATCTTTACAAGGAAATAGCCAATGTTTAATTATGCTGAGAATATGTGTTAACAAGAAAGTTATAATTTTGAGAGGCAATTGATCATTTAAAAGCACATCTCAAGAAAGCTATGGTGAAGAACAGAGAAAACTTTCCAGATTATACAAATAGTTATGGAATTAATAAGACCTGGGAGTTCGTGACATCTCAGATATTTTCAAATTTCCAGCCTATTCATATTTATATTCTTAAGACAACAAAATAACCCCATTGGTTTGGCATTATGTAATAATTTTTATGATATTATAAAGAAGAAATATTAAGTTTTATTTTCTTACCTTATTTTTTCATAAAATATTAGTAAAATTAATTTTATTTACTTACATAAATAATACATTTGAGACTGCTTTTGAAGGACATTTCAGTCCATGATTAACTAGCAAAGTTAAGATTACAAACAATTGTTTCTCATATCATATTTTATATTATTTTCTCTACAAAATGTTTTGTGATCACTGAAAATTTCTGAAACTTTAATTTGACAATAAATTCCATTAGGTAAAATATAAATCTACTTAAATAAATGGAGAAAAACAGGTCCATGGATGTTTCTATCCTTACAATTAAATTAACACAATTTGGCTTATTTGGTTGACACTGACAGGTAGTAAAGCATTTAGTATCAGTGACTCAAGGGAGAAATAGTCCCTTTCACATTGTGTCTCAATGCAACTATCGTTTTGCAGGTCTTAGGAATATTTCACAACAAGATAAACAAAATTGAAGACCCAGCATTGAATTTTGGAATGAGTATACAAGGAGAAATATACATCAGCAAATTAAAGTGCCTTCTTCTTTGATGAGATATTTTTGCATGCCATATGTTTATTTATCTCCTTTATGTCACTCATATTACATGATAGATCACTAGTTCATGATCTGGCCCAGCAAGTGTTTTTTCATACAAAATAATCTAAAATACAGAAATAAACATTTAACTGGCATTTTTATTTATAGGTAGATTACAATTTTTATATTATTTACATACATTGAGTCTTCTTTTTGATAAAAGCACTGTACCAGTCAGTACAAATTAACTGAGTGACAACAAGCTGTTCTATTCATTGAGGATGATTCACAGATGTCATTTAGGATTCACAGATGTCTTCCAGAGTAGAAATGCTTTTGAGATCCGTATGACCTTTTTTTCTACGGAAACTTCAATTTCATTCTATGTTGACTTGGTGATATCATGATTTCTCTAAGGTCTAAAATGATGAATGTATTTATATTGTTTATATAGTTATAGGAAATGACAGCACAAAGCTCAGTATGTCAAGTTGTATACTTTGCTTTGCTTGTAGAAGCAGAGCTGGCAGCAGCAGAAGCTGTAGTCTGATTGCCTAAAAAGAGAGGGTCCAAACAAGCTACTTTGGCAGCAAAGAATGAATGAATGCAGTGAAGAACAGCAAATAAATTTGAAAATTCCAGTTCCTGGAATTGAGAAGGGAAAAAATAATGAGTCAGATAAAATAAAAATCAACTTCTTAAAAAACTTGATATCTGGACAACTAGATAATTTTCAAGTGCAATAAACAACTCTGATCAATTATATTCAATGCATGGAAACTACAGAAGTTTTTGTTTGATATATACATTCCATATGCATTACAGATTTTCTTCAAATAATGGTTGTCTAAGGGCTAGAAGAACTAAGCATTCTTACTATTCCTGAAACTAATTTCAACATTGATAAAAATTGCATGGACATACATTTGGTCAGATTAACATGAGAGCACTGCAGAAAGTATTTTTAATCTTTTTGTACATATTGAAAAAATAAATTTGAATGAGAATTATTAAAATATATTTCAGTACTTCAAGAATACATATTGTTTGCCATAGGAAGCTGAATATTAAATACTAAAAGCAAGGGTGATAGATGCTTATGACAGTAAGAGCCAACTATTCAATTAAAAATAATTATTGTACTGATTTGACAATTTTAATACATTTTATTTTTTATTATTATTTTTTTAGAGTTATTTGTTTGTTTGTTTTTTTGTTTGTTTATACAAGCACTGGGTACAGTCAGAAGTGCGGGAGGGTAAGAGAATTCACCAGAGCCAGAGCGGGGAGCAGAACAGGCAGAAGGACCGAAGTATACTGCTGAGGGGAGCAGCTGGCAGCAGGAGAGGTCTGTGCGCCATGCGGGACCCTCCTCTGGTGGCCGGGGAGCAGCCGGGGATCGAACAGGCGCCGCAGAGGCTGCGGGCAGCTTTGCAACCCAGCATTCAACCGCTGCGCCAAAGGGGAGGCCCAATTTTAATACATTTTAAATGCTGTACGTTGCTACTTAAAATTGTTGTTTTTTTTTTTTTTTTGGTCATTCACACATGCCTCCCTGGTGACGCAAGGGATTAAGCACAGCACTATGAAGCTATCTGCAGCCTCTGCATCACGAGTTCAGTCCCCAGCCGTCCAGGGAGCAACTAACATGGTACAGCAGATCTCTCCTGTCTTGCCCGCTACTCCCTTCAGCAGTGTATTTCAGTCAATCTGCCTGTTTTGCTCCCCAATCTGTCTCCGGTGAATCCTTTCACCACCCACACCTCTGGCCTGTACTCTAGTTCTTATATGCATAAATAAATAAATCTTAAAAAAAATTTAAAAAATCCACAGCTCACTAATTGCTTGAATTTTCAGAAATATTTCCCATTTTGGATATATAATGAAATTTGTAACCTATGTATCAGCAGTGACCAAGTGATAAATATTTCAATGAAAATAGAAAATTTTCTTTCAAAACACAAATGCGGTCTGACTAGCTGCAAATTCATAAGGAATGTGATAGAGCAATACACAGGCACAGATTTTTTTCTTGTTTATTTTTTTTTCATTGAGTTAACACTGATTTTTCAATACTGTATATGACTTAGGGGAATAGTCCACACCTCAGATGTGTATAACCACACCCACCACCAAAGCTCCCACACCATTTACATAGATCATTTGACCCTTTTCTCCTTTGTCCTTACCCCTATCTTCCCTCATCTGGTATCATCAACTCTGCAGTCATATATATAGGGTTTGCTTTTGGTTCAGTTTTGTCAGTTCCTTTGTATGACTTCTCCACATTCCACAAAGTTCTTTAAAAATCAATAAAATAAGTGAGATTGTCTCAATAATTCCCTTCAGAGTTTCAGTTCTCATAATTTGTTTGCTATGGCAAGTGTAGACTTAATTTGTAGGATATCAAATTACATATTTAAATATTCTAATTACCCAAAATAATTCTATTTAAGACATTTTAGTTAATCTATAATAATCATTTCAAAATATTTACTTTAATAATCTACTTCAGTGTCACTATGGTGTTATTGGTTATCTAGTAGGTATCCTTTTCTTTTAATTTCCTAAAAGTTCTCCATTCACTCTGTATTTTTTGTTTGTTTGTTTTTTGTTCAGCTAGCTCATTTCACATGCAATTTAGAATACTTCTGTGTCAAAACATATCAAATCCACCAGATATGAGAAAGGTGGAGCAGTTTTGGAAAACAAAATATGCGATGTGTTATTAAAAAAAAAAACACATACAATTTACTTTGGGTAAATTCAGGAATACTGTTGAATGTTAGAAGGGAAAAAACATTCAGCAACTTTATTAAAAAGTAATTTTAGTATATTTTGATCAATGTGGAGATTGCATTTTGGTTAACAAAAAACGAATATCTATAGATTCGTAACATTTTGGAGACATTTATATTTTCATTTTCAGCCATACACTGTCAGTTGTATGTAATTTATTTTATTTAGACTGGCACTTTAAAATTTGTATATCTTTTTGCAGGGGAGTTCATGCTGGGCAGGGTAATTATAAGAGAAAGCTGGTGGCATAGATTTGTCATTTGTGCCTTGATATTAATGTCAATTCTGCTTCAATAATCATCTTTGATAATCATATTCACTCCTATAGTGTCAATAATCACTTCTATATAAACTGATGTGTTTCCCCAGTCTTTTTAAATGACATTTTAATCTATATATTGAACATCAACAGGTGGCTTACAGCAAATTATTTATTATGTTCTTGTCATAAAGGAGATGGAGACTTCAGAATCTGTGAATTTCACTAAATAAAAGTTATCTTCAAAATGAAATCATTCATTTACTCAATGAATATTTAGTGAGTATTTACTATGCACTAATGTTTTGGTGAAAGGACATAGTAGTGAAAAAAAACAGATCAGAAAAAGTCCCGATGGAGTTTCCTTTCTCAAGGCAAGAAGCAAAACATTTGGGCATTAAAAAAGGAACAATCAAAACTAATCCAAAAACAAATCAGGGAAATGTGGCTGCAGAATTGACTAAAAAGGTCAGGGTGTGGGTGGAGAGCAAAGGGGGGATGGAGCCAAGTGGGCTACAGAAATGAGGGGTCCTTTGGTGGTGGGTGTGGTAATAATAACATTAATTTAAAGAAATGTGAATCTATTCCCTAAATCATATACAGTGGTGTAATCCAATTAAAAAAAAAAGGGATGAAGAAATTAAATATAATATTTCAAATTATGATGATTAATATCATCAAGAAAATAAAATAGAAAAGAGACCACAGAATGTGGGATAGTGGGGGCAGAAAAATTCATTTTTCCTTAAGGGAGAATTCTAAGGGAACAAAGGAATAAACTATTTGATGTCTGTGTGAGAAACATTCCAGGTCGAAGTTCATTTCAAGATCCTGGGGAAATACATTCTAGAACCATTTGAGGAAATGCAAGGGTCACCTGTGCCTGGAATGGACTGAATGAAGGAATGATTCAGAGGAAATGAAGTAAAAGAAATATAAGGAGATCAGATCTGGCAGTGCCATGTTGGTCCTTTATGAATTTTGCTGAGTGGCATGAAAAATCTCTGAAGATTTTTGAGCAAAGAAATAGCACGAGCTGACATAAATATTAAATGGGAATTCTGGATATATTGTTGAGAAGAAATTATTTGGTATGATATTGAAATAAGGGGATGAGTTATAAAGTTTTTAAATAAGGAGTAGAGTGGGATTTCAAAGTAAATTTTAGTCAAAGATGATACCAAGGTTGAACAACTACAAGGAGAGAGTTGCATTTACTGAAATGGAAGAACACTGGGGAGAACAATTTAGGCAAACCATCAAGATTTTGTTTTAGATATGTTACATTTTAGAGCATATTGGACAGACAAGTGGTAAGTATATGGCTCTATACATTATTACAGATTTAAGGAAAGAGTCAGAGTTGTACATAAAAATGTAGGATGTCAGCATATAAATGATTGGTAAAGCTGTTGTCGGAATGAGAAGATCAAAGTGTGGAGGGTATGCAGAGAAATTTAACTCAGCCCTGGGATCTTACGGTATGGAAATGTTAAGGAAGAACCAGTTAACAGTTTTTTCCAGGGAAGTGAGGAAGAAAGAGCTTGTCAGGTGACCCCTGGAAATTGATCACTGGATGTAACCACGTGGAGGTCATTTTTGTGTGTGACAAAAGATTGTGCAGATAAGTGGTAACAAAAGACTAATATGAATGGATTTGTGAGTGAATGGGTTGAAAGAAATAAAAGGCTGAGTATGAATGATAACACTTTAGAGGGGCTCACCCTATTCTAAAATTAACAGAGAAATAAAATGTATCCATAGGTGAAACCAAGAATGTATTTTAGCATTTAAGTTTTGAAGATGGGTAGACATGGATATAGAACTCACATAAGATCACTGGGGTAGGGACATTCCTGATGGCAAAAGGGGTTAAGAGCAGCACTGTGAAGCTATCTGCGGCCTCTGCAGCACAAGTTGATCCCGGCTGGCCAGGGAGCTACACACATGGTGCAGCCGACTTCTCCTGTCTCGCCCGCTGCTCCCCTCAGCAGTGTGTTTCAGTCAGTCTGCCTGTTCTGTTCCCCACTCTGTCTCTGGTGAATCCTATCACCCCATGCCTCTGGCCTGTTCCCCAGTTCTTGCATGCATAAATAAATAAATCTTAAAAAAAAGACCACTGGGGAAGAGGAATGATGGAAAAAAAAAATGCATACTGAGAAGAAAAGTGTGAAACTAGTGAAAATACATGTTGGACTGTATGGTGTCATGGACATTTCCCCCACAGCAGAAGAAGAAAAAATCAGAGTAAAATGACACAATTCAAGGTATATGGACAGAATTGGTAGTATGTTACTCTGCCTAAATCTGTTTTGTTTGTTTGTATTTAAGTTATTATATCTGTCAACTGACATATATAATAAGGTAACATGTATTAAAATTTGAACCAAATAAAGAACTCCTAAGTATGGGGCCTCCCTGGTGGCACAAGGGGTTAAGCACCACATTGTGAAGCAGTCCACAGCCTCTATAGCACAAGTTTGATACCCGGCTGACCAGGGAGCAAGCCATATGGCAAAGCAGACTTCTCCTGTAGTGCTTGCTGCTCCCCTCAGCAGTGTATTTCGTCACTCTGCCTGTTCTGTTC